GGGAGCTATTCAAGCAGCGAATCAATATGAAAGCAATAGAGAGATCTAGCCTTTATCTTTTGAATCTAATAAAAGAGAAAGAGCTTAGACGAACACTTGAGAGACTAACAGCTCTTGAATGTGAAAAATCTGGAGTATATGGTGACGATTTGTGGAGTATCAAACAGAGAATGGAGGTATACGAGGAGGAACGCTATCACAGAGCGCTAGCGCCAGCCAGAGCAACATCATTGACTCTGGATGATATCCCGATGAAGCGAGCGCTTGGATTAGGGAACAGTCATGCCAGACAAAATCATATAGATGCCATGGAAGTCAACGGTTTCGAAGTTTCAGACAATGAGAGCATTAGGACGAGCGTTCAGCAAACACTACGAAGCACTCTTAGCTTCCACGACCATTGATTCAGAAGCATTTAGGCAAGAGCTTCTTAACAGAATGCCGAAGTTGTCAGATGACACCAAATCAGCTTTATAGCTATCTATCACGTCAATTCGCATCTGTAGCTTAAGTAGGACTACCGGGCCCCTTCAATACATTGATTGATATGTGCGTTCAACGTACAAAAACTGCCATATGGTAATGAGAGACGCCGTAGTGGAGTGCTCCGGAAATTTCCATCACCTGGGTTTTTCTACCGCGCACACAAATCTGAGCCCACGGGCCTGGAGCATTTTCGCCTCCAACGAAAATGCAACCCGGGACTTAGGGTCAGCAGCCGAGAACCTTAGGTACCAGACCACCGTGGCGGGACCCACTGAAAATGAATATTCATAATTTGGATATGCTAACGTCGGAGTAAAACGCATGTTAAACGAAGGAGAAGAACACTAAACGGTATAGTTAATTCATAGCGCCAGATTTGGCTCATTTCTCTTGGACAATGAAAGCAGTAATTTTTATTTATATGTTACTCAATGGTATGTTTTAAATGTATGTGGATGACACGAGATTAAGTGAAATGTGTAATCCTGCGGCCTACCACATCTGTTGGCTACACATTTTTGTTATTATTCTCAGAAAACCAGTATCATAGTAAAAAGAGCCCTGAAGGTGCAAGGCCGAACAATAAACTTGAGATACACGCTTGAAAACTTGTAGTTTGTGGGCCGAAAGTAATGCGAAGTATTAGTTAAATACTGGCATGGCTGACTTGTACTCTACGCAATTATTAACCTACTTGTGCTAATTGCAAACAGGTAATGCGAGTTTTTTTATCTGGTAAGCAAGAAACGCCGGCATTGTGTTGCTAATATTAAATCGCCATTGAGTCGGTAGATAGAGCGGCGATAGCGTTGTGATTAGGTCATCCGCCTCGCATGCGAAAGGACCGTGGCTGTAATCTTGGTGCCGCGCAGTTTCCAACCAGTGTAAAATAATTCACATGGTGGTGGAACTGCATTAAAAGGCCTGCGGTGCGGCCTCACCGGTGGCCACCTCTGGTAAACGCACCCCCTCACCAGAGAAGCACTGGCCACCTTCGTGCAGTATCTGGCCACTACCTCCCACATGCATACATCAATTAACTCATGGCCCTCAGTCCCCAGCAGCTGCGAAGCAACTAATCATGCCGGCGGTCATATTTGCATTACAGCAGAGGGTGCTAAGAATCTCTGCATTCGGACAGGCCGCCATTGCAACCTTAACTAGCAACGTTTATAGCTAGACCTTATCTGGTGCGGCAAGTCTAGCTGTACTATCTGGTGCGGCAAGTCTAGCTGGCAACAGAGAGGAATACTATAGCAATAATGAAATGGTGGTAGGCATTGTAATTAAACTCAATAAGAGATACAACATGAAGGTGTACAGGATTACGCGCCTACATCCAGCCATGATGACGCTTCAGTTGAAAGCTTCTATGAAGACGTGGAATCGGCAATGAGCAAGATAAAAAACAGTACACTTTACTGATGGGAGACTTTAATGCAAAGGCAGGAAAGAAGCAGGCTAGAGACAAGGCAGTAGAAGATTGTGGCGTCGGAAGTAGAAATGCCAGAGGAGAGCTACTAGTACAACTCACAGAACGCAATAATTTACGGATTTTCAAAACCTTCTACCGAAACAAGGAAACTGTAAGTGGTCATGGAGGAGCCCTAATGTCGAAAACAAGAACGAAATAGACTTTATATTGAGTGCACACCCAGGCATCGTGCAGGATGTGGAAGTGGATGGCAAGGTACGAAGCAGTGACCATCGTATAGTATGGTCTCGAATTCACCTAGACGAAGAAGGAACGACAGAGACTGATACACAAGAAGCCAATCAATGAGCTTGCGCTGTGAGGGAAAGTACAGGAATTTAGAGTCTCGCTTCAGAACAGGTGCTCGGCTCTTATAGAGAAAACCAACTTCAGCGTAGATACAAAGAATGATAATCCGACGAGTATCATTACGGAGTGTGCAGTGGAAGTTGGAGGCACGGCAGTTAGACAGGACGCTGGCGAGCTTTCCCAGGAAACGAAGAATCTTATTAAGAAGCGTCAGAGCATGAAAGTCCTAACTACAACAGACAAAATAGAACTGGCAGAGCTTTCGAAGTTGATTAATAAGTGTAAGGTATCCGATGTAAGAAAGTATAACGTGGAGAGTATTCAACACGCTCTGAAAAATGAAGGAAGCGTCAAAGCAGTGAGGAGGAAACTTGGGATAGGCAAAAATCGAAAGTATGCACAAAGGGACAAAGAAGGCAAAATAACTACCACCCAAGCAGCCCAGATTGTTGGCCCAATGTTGGGGATAGATTAGAAGTTCGTGGCCTAAAAATAGCCCAGGTGACAACGCACCGCCAATAAAGGCTGTGTCAGCCCAATATAACGGTGATGTTGGACCAGTCTTGACAACGTTCTGACAATAATGGCTGTGCCAGTCTCTTAGAATGGTAATGTTGGACCAGCATTCGGAACTTTCGGCCAATATTGGCCGTGCCAGCGTGTAAGAACAGCCACGTTGGGCCGAGTTGTACAAGCAGCAGCCAATATGGGCGGAGCCGTGCAATTTGGCTGGCTTTATTGGCTCATTGTTCGAACGTTATTGCCGGCGGCGTCTAAACAGTCAACTTGGTTCTCATAACATTAGACCGGTATGGGCTAATTTCTGTGTCGGCTGCTTTTGGCGCTCTTCTGCTTCCACTCACGTGTAGATTTTTCAAGTTCAAGAGAGTTATATGCCGGGCGCATGAATATTATATTTTGTCAATGAATCATGCGCAACTAGTTGATATGAAAGATTTTTTATTGACCTTGCACAAGGTACAATATTTTACTCATAAACATTTATCGAGTTTGTCGGCTGTCAGACTTCCGATGCGGTGCTTCCCCAGATGAAAATTGGGCAGGTCTGTGCGATGAAGCAACCGCGGATGCCACGGCCCTACGCGACCCACTTCAGCGTGACTAAGCACGCGCGCAGCCGGCGTTTGTTTCGTCGCATCACGCCGGCGATGCCACGCCAAGCGCTTTGAACTTCGCCGATATCGGACGCAAAGCGTATCGTATCGTGTGTCCTGCTATGCTATCACCGCGACCGATTTGGTTTTTTCGTGTTCACAGCGCTGTACCAGTTAACGGCACACAAGTGCTTGACGTGTGGGAACTGGGGGGTTTATCAGTTGCGTTACGGTGATTGAATCGTACAACACATGCATTTGCCGTAATCTGACACACGCACCAACTCTCGCGTCCTGTATCGTAACGTCCACACGAATTACCTTCAACATTGCAGCGAACGATTGGTAAAGTGTGATGGATGTGATGGAGTGCCTGGGCGTCGGGCACCTTGTCTTCATGGGTCGTCGCAAGTTAGTTTTTTTTGTGGAACGTTTCTGTTGATTACTTTGATATATATACATTGCCCTACTGTAGCCAAAACATCAGCTAGCTTACGCAGTACGTAGACTTCATTGAGCCCGCAGCTCGACGCACAAAAAGAAAAAAACGTTTCCATGAGTTCATATGTGCTGATGCATAGAACACATGACACGTAGCCTGAATCATTTATAAACAAGAAACCGGACGCATAGGGCGTCGTGTTGTTTCATCAAATACATAACCACAAACCCCTCTCCTCCCCCCTCTCTCCTAATTTTTTAAAGTCTGCGGAAAGAAGGAAGTGCTCTTCACAGATCTACGAAGCTGGTTTCTGTAAAGTAGAGAGTTTTATTTCACACTCGCTGTCGTTTATTTATTTTTCGTTTGTTACGTTTCCCAACAGACGTGCCGAAAGGACCAGACAAGATTCGGGTGAACGACTTTTATTTACCCATGCTTTGTGGGTTCGTGGCTCGGGCAAGAAGAGGCACGCTAGCAAGCGGTATTCTGCTTTTACCACCCAGTGGCGCAGGCGCACTTCGCAGGGTGCTCTTATCAATGGAGCGCAAGCTGACACAACACCACCTACCCCCCCCCCCTTTTTTTTTATTAACACGTACAGTCAGTCAGAGTCCAGCTTGGAATCGATCTGGAGGGTGACGATTTCACAGGGGGTAGCGTCTTGCTTCGGCGGGTGTTGCCTGTGGCGAAATCGAAGTTGCCCTGGACGGTTGTGGTGTGGGAGGAACTGTTGTGTCGCCAGTCTCAGGAAAAACCAGGAACTCGCTGGACGTAACTTCGCCAGCTGTTCAATGCATAGGGGTAACGTTCTCTGCAGGTCTGTGCAGCAGCTGATTCTGGTGGCGACGACAGGTGAAGGTGCCCTTTGTGTGGTTGCACGCACTTGGAATGAGACAGGACCTGTTTGAGCGAACAATCATAGCTGGGAGTCCACTTTGGTTTTCCAGAATAATTACGTGCTAACACGCTGTCGCCTACCAAGAAACGACGATCGCGATACAGACGACTTAGGTGCCTAGTGCATTGTCTGTGGGCTACTCTTTCCGTCACGGAGGGCTTAATGGCATCTAGCCGACTTCGTAAGCGCCGTCTCCAGGAGCAATGCCGCTGGTGATTCACGAGTCATCGCATGCGGCGTGTTGCGATACGACAGCAAGAAGTTATGCAGCTTTACCTGCATGAGTCTCTCCGGTGCTGCCTTTGCGGAGGGCGTCCTTTAAGGTCTGAATGAAACGCTCTGCCAGCGCATTGGAGCTGGGGTGGTAGTGAGCTGTGAGGACGTGCCGTGCCACTATTGCCTGCACGAAGTGCTTGAACTCCTGCGAAGCAAATTGAGGTCCATTATCCGAAACAATTGTTTCAGGGAAACCAAAACGTGCGAAGAGCTCGGTCAAACAACGAATCCTGCTTTCTGAAGTTGTCGAGCGCATTTCGAAAACCTCTGGCCATTTGAAATGTGCGTCGACCACCACTAAAAGCATGGTATACTGAATTGGTCCTGCAAAGTCTACTAGAACACGCTGCCACGGTGAAGTCGGCCATGGCCACGGGGGAAGAGGTGTGCTGATTGGCGCGTTACGTTGCTCTTTACAACTAGCGCAGCTTTTGATGCGTTGTTCGAGGTCCGCTTCAAACGTTGGCCACCACACGTAGCTGCGCGCTAGCTCTTTGCTACGCACAATGCTGAGATGGCTGTCATGGAGGTCGTCCAGAATGAACCCGTGCGGGTTTGCAGAGACGACGACTCTTGTGCCCAGCATGACGCATCCCTGATGCACCGTCAGCTCGTTTCACCAGCAAAAAAAGGCTTCAAGGGCTCATCCGTGATTGACGTGGGCCTTCCAACATTGGTGAATTGCTTCACTTGACAAAGAATTCGGTCTTTACTCATGGAAACCGCGACATCTCAACTAGAAACAGGCAACGAGTCCAATCGCAACGAATAAAACGCTTCTTCTGTTTCTTTGGTTTCCGCTTCAAGATCTGGTAGCGGCCGACGCGAGCAGAAATCGGCTTTCGCGTTCTCGCTTGATTTCTTCAAGATAAGATTGTACGAGTACGCTGCCAACGTTACGGGCCAGCGTTGCAACTGAGAACCCACGATGGTGGGAATTCCAGTTGTTTGAGGAAACTTATAGTCTGTGACCAAGGTGAATGAGCGCCCATACAGATAGAAGTGAAACTTCTTTACATCAAAAATGATGGCAAACGCTTCCTTCTTCAGTTGACTGTATTTCTTTCCGCTTCGGATAGCGTTCTGGAAGCATAAGCAATGGGTCGTGCCCTGCCGTCATCGTAGACATGAAATAGGACGGCTCCTACACCATACTGTGACGCGTCGCATGACAGCCTAAGTTGTCTTTCGGGATCATAGTGTGCGAGCGTAGGTGGTTGCGCCAGTTTAGTTTTCACTTGGTTGAACGCTTTTCGAGCATGCTCATCCCAGTGCCAAGCTACCTTTTTCTGCAGAAGCCTGTAAAATTGTTTAGCTATCGTAGCTAACTGGGGCACGAACTTGCTGTAATAGTTGATAACGCCCAACAAAGATTCAAGCTGCTTCTTTGACTTCGGCTCTGGTGCCTGAAGAAGTGCGTCCACTTTATCTGACAATGGGGCAATGCCTTCAGCGCTGATTTTGTGACCAAGGTAGTGAAGCTCGCTTCGGAAGAACGAGCACTTCTCTTTCTTTACCCTGACACCTCGGCTTTGAAGACGCTCTAGCAGCGCTTTGAGATTGGCTAAGTGGTCCTCTGTAGTTTTCCCCGTTACGAAAATATCATCTACGTAGCAGCGAACACCCTTGAGACCCTTCAACATGGCGTCCATTATCTTTTGGAAAATCCCCGGCGCGGAAGCGATTCCAAAAGGTAATCTGTTGACAACGAACAATCCCTTATGCGTATTCAAGGATAGAAATTGCGTGGAGGCATCAGACATCACCACTTGCTGGTAAGCGCGATTCAGGTCTATATCTGAAAATTGCTTGCCTCCGGAAAAAGCCGCGAACAATTCATCGACCTTAGGCAGCGCATAACGTGTGACGTCAAGGCACGGATTCACTGTCACCTTATAATCACCACAGAGGCGTATGCCACCATCTTTCTTGATAACGGGTATGACTGGCGTGTCGTAATCTGATGTGGCCACGGCTGTTATGATGCCCATTTTTCCATCTTGGAAAGCTCAGCCTAGGCCGCTTTTTGCAGCGCGAACGGCACGTTTCCTGCTTTGAGAAACTTCGGTGCCTGATTAGGCTTGAAATGCAACTCGGCCTTTTCTTCAGTAATCATGCCTAGCTCATCTTTAAAAAGAGAGTCGTACTTTGTCATCAAAGCGTGCAGCCTTTCTTCCAATTGACACGAAATGTGCAGATCTGACCTTGGCAGATCGACGAGGCTGTGGAATAGATGTATTTTAAACCAGTGGTAATGGCATGACCAGTTCACCAGCGAGAACGGAGACCACCCTTCGTCTTCATCATCAGGCACACACGCGCGTCGCCCGCCAGAGAATCTCAGTATGCATGCATGTAGAATAATCTCCGGTGGCAGAAGCGCCGTCTCGGTGCATCTAAATGTCAACGTCATTAGAAGAGTCGTAGGGCTTCAAGCGCGCAACATGTACAATATCGGTAGCCTGTTGGGCACATGAAGGCGACGGGACGACAGGACCTATTTCATATGTCACAGGAGTAACGATAAGAAGGACTCGGTATGGACCTCGTAGGGTGTAAGCAGTTTTTCTGACAAGCCAACTCGACAGGTCGGAGACCAGAGCAGGACCAAAAAAAGGGGCGGAAAGTGTACGTCGCGGTATCGTTGGTCATACAAACCCCGTTGCTTCTTTTGACAGGTCAAAATGCGATTACGGGTGATTTCGTGTGCGTGAGCGGCCCGAGTGATCCATGGCAAATTTACTGAACAGTACTGCAAGGGACGGTATGACGGTGTCTAGAGGCAAGTTGGTTCTCGGCCAAACAGCAGAAAAAATGGAGAGTAACCAGCAGTGTCATGGCGCGAAGAATTATAGGCAAATGTGATGTACGGCAACGTAAGATCCCAGTCGGTGTGGTTGGTAGAAACATACTTAGCGAGCAGGTCTCTACGAGTTCGATTTAGACGCTCCATGAGTCCGTTGGTCCGTGACTCCGTGGGTTTAGCGATGGTTGCGAAACCTTTCACAAACATTCTAAAGTAAGAACAAAGTCCTACCAAACTCCGGCTGTCTTTGACTGACTGGAGTACAGGAAAACTGGTGACTGCACGAATTTTCTCCGGGTCCTGCTGCACACCAGATGCGTCGACAAGGTGGCCCAACACAGTAATTTGCCGGCATCCGAAGTGACACTTCCACGAGTTTAATTGAAGGCCTGCAGTGCGAAATATGTCGGGAAAAGCTGACAAACGCTGAAGGTGAGTCTCAAATGTTGGGAAATATACAATGACATTGTCAAGACAACAAAGACATGGTTCCGAAACCAATCACAAACATTCTAAAGTGAGAACAAAGTCCTACAAAACTCCGGACGTCTTTGACTGACCGGAATACAGGATAACTGGTGACCGCACACATTTTCTCCTGGTCCGGCTGCACACCAGATGCGTCGACAAGGTGGCCAAACACAGTAATTTGCCGGCATCCGAAGTGGCACTTCCACGAGTTTAATTGAAGGCCTGCAGTGCGGAATATGTCGAGAATAGCTGACAAACGCTGAAGGTGGGTCGTAAATGTTGGGGAATGTACAGCAAAATCGTCAAGACAACAAAGACATGTTGACCATTTGAACCCTTGTAGCACAAAGTCCATCATGCGCTCAAACGTGGCTGGGGCATTGCGTAGCCCAAACGGCATAACCTTGAAGTGATATAGATCGCCTCGAGTTACAAACGCAGTCTTAACTTGGTCTTTTTCGTCATCAGCAATCTGCCAGTAGCCGGAACGTAGGTCTATTGAAGAAAAGTATCGGGCGCCGTAGAGACAAATGAGAGCGTCATCGATACCGGGTAAAGGGTAAACGTCCTTTTTTGTGAGTTTATTCAGATGGCGGTAATCCACGTGAAGGCCACGTGCCATCTCTCTTTTTAACGAGCACAACGGGGGACGCCCGAGGGCTCGAAGAGGCTTCAACAATTCCTTTGTCTAGCATCTTGCTGACTTCTCGTTGAATTACTTTACGCTCGGTCGCAGACACCCGGTATGGTCGCCGATGAATGGTATGAGGATCACCTGTGTTTATGTGGTGCTTGACGAGTGAAGTCTGGCCGAGTGGACGGCTGTCTATGTCGAATATGTCGCGGTATGAAGCCAGAAGGCGGCAGAGCGCAGCTGACTTCTCAGGTTCGAGGTCCGGGGTGATCATGAAGCGTAAGGTTGCCTCGAGGCACTTGGTATCCTGCGAGTGACGTGGGTGATCGGGACATACGTCTGCCCGCAAAACATGTGACGTGGTCGTTCAATTAAGGGCCTTAGCGTGGCGACCGATATTCCTTGAGGCAGAACTTGTTTCATGAAACCAAAATTGATAACAGGTAAATTATGTTCGGTTAGAGGCCATGGTTACGATAGGAGTGTGGGACAGTAATGTCACGCGCCAGGAGAACATCAGGAATCGGCGTCACGATATAATCACCGTCAAGCACGGGAAGAGGTGTTGCCAATTCAACAAATGTGAGAGCTTTAGGTGGTATCCGGAAGAATCAGTGGTGCACAAGCTGTTATGGAGTTCAGGGTGAGAATCCAGGAGAAAGAGACAGTTCTAGGCAGAGAGTACCAGCGGCACAATCGATGAGGGCAGAATGCGTCGATAGGAAGTCCATGCCGAAGATCAGATCGTGAGGGCAATGTTCAAGCACCGTAAATACAACGGGGACATGGGGGCTGGCAATACTAACGCGAGCGGTACACATTCCAGTGCTGGCCACAGTTCCACCATCAGCGACACGGAGGGCTTTAGTTGCTGCAAACGTGAGGACTTTTTTGAACAGCCGACGCAGATGAACAATCAATAATGACACTTGAGCTCCGGTATCGACTAACGCCGTCAAAGAAATACCGTCCACATACACCTCAATCAAGTTCGTATCACTGGGGAGCGTCAACGGAGGATTTGGATCACTCGCAATTGATGCAGAACTACCTCCCGGAGCTGCGTGATCTAGTTTTCCGTCCGAGAGGATCCATAGTTGACCGGCGACGGATAGCGGCGTGGTTGAGGCGATGGAGAACGGCGGCGTTGAGGTGACGGTGAACAAGCGGCGGAGTAGCTGTTAGAGACGTCGGAAGAAGGGTACACATGACTGGGTGGATACCAACGGGAGTCCTCGTATGGTCGAGTAGAGGAAAATGGGCTCCAGCTTAAGGGCATCCAAGTGCTGCGGCAATAGCGGGAGATATGGCCAACTCGGTGGCAGCGGAAGAAGATTGGTCTCTCGTCTGCAGTTCTCCATTCCGTCGGATTGCGGGATCGCGGAATAAAATGTACGTCTTGGCGTGGAGTATTTGATGTCATTGGTCTAGAGGTGGGTCGGGAGGCAGAGCAGGCCAAAAGAATACCGCAATTTGCGATTTCCTGCCTCACGACGGCTTGGATAACGCAGACCGCCAGAGGTGTTTGAGTGGCGCCATGGTCGAGTGAATGTAGAGGAAATGGTGCCGGACTTCGTGCCTCAAGCTCCCGTCGAACTATACGTGTCACACTGTCCTGCATGGGCGGTGCGGAACCGAGATCGGTGCAGGTTGACATAAGCGCCGTGTTTCGTAGCCGCGTAAACTGAGGCAAAACACGGCGGCTTTTGGCCACTTCGAAGAGCCGGCATTCCTTAGTAATCATATCTACTGTCGTGAGGTTGGTATACACGAGCAAATTGAAGGCGTCGTCAGCGATGCCTTTGAGATTGTGGCCTACCTTGTCACTGTCTCTCATTTGCTCGTCCACTTTACGGCACAACGCGAGCACGTCCTGTATGTACGAGACATACGACACAGTTGAGGACTGCGCACAAGTAGCAAGTTCTTTTCGCGCTTCCATTTGGAGACCGGAGGGGTCCTCAAAGAGGTCGCGTAGTCGCTCCTTGCAGTTATCCCATCTGGTGAGCTCGGTCTCATGGTCGTTGAACCAAACACGTGGGGTGCCGTCCAAGTAAAATATTACGTTGGCCAGCATCATTGTAGGGTCCCATCGGTGTGTCTGGCTAACACGCTCTTACATAAGGAGCCAGTAGTCAACGTCAAGCCCAGGTTGTGCGGAGAATGTACCGGGATCACGGGGTTGGGGCATCTTCAGGTATGTGGTGGTTGGAGCTCGAGATGAAGATGCTGATGGGTTGTTGTTAATGGTAGCCATGGCCGCAGAGAGAATGGCGCGGCCACTGCGAAGCTTTGTGGTGAGGACGGGAAACGTTCCACCTTTACCAAATATGTTACGGAAAAGAAGGGACGCCGTATGGACGAGGCTGTGGAATAGATGTATTTTAAACCAGTGGTAATGGCATGACCAGTTTACCAGCGAGCGAGCTGAAACGATGATGATGATTATGGTGATGATTCCACAGCCTTGGCTTGTACTAACTCAGGGCGATCGGCCAAGAATGGATGACTCAATTCAGTAAGATTTTTTTTTCAATAGCGGAGACCACCCTTCGTCTTCGTCGTCAGGCACACACACGCGTCGCCCCCTAAAATCTCAGTATGCATGCATGTAGCAATATCTAAAAAAAAAGGTTTTTTTTGAAAGCTATGTTCTGCGGTAACATCAAAAAAACACATCACACTCAAAAACAAATTGAAAATTGTGATTGCACAAGAATCTTAGTGATGTAACAGTGGTC